CTCCTCCTCCTCCTCCTCCTCCTCCTCCTCCTCCTCCTCCACATCTCCTCTCTTCTTCTCCTCCTGCCCCCCGCCTTCGTCGACCACGCCTCGCGGGGAGAGGTCTCTTCTTCTCCTTGTACGGCCGCCTCAAGGCAGGCCGCCGCGCCCTGCGACTGCGCTGCGCGGCCACCGCCGCGCCGCGCCGACGACGCCGACGATGACGCCGACGCCGCCGACAACGCCGACGCCGCCGACGACGCCGACGACGACGCCAACGATGCCGATGACGCCGACGACGCCGACGACGACGACGCCGACGCCGACGCCGATGCCGACGCCGACGCCGACGCCGCCGCCGCCGCCGCTGCCGACGACGACGACGCCGCCGACGTCGCAGGGGGTTCCGGATTTCAGCCACGCGGAAGCTCGACTTGATCGCATGAAGATGAGAATGCAGCGCGCGCAGTCGGCGTTTGCGAAAGCGCAGCAGGAGCAGCACATCGCAGAAATGTTGCAGGACCGCCTGTGGCAATCAATGCACGCTGACAGCCTGAATCGACAGATACATGTGTCCAATAGCGGTGTGATCGAAGCTAGGAAGGTGGCATGATTCATTGTAGTTCTTCCGCCACGGGGAGCCCATCTTTAAACGCGAACCAAGGTGGGTGGTAGCAGGACGGCGGCAATGACAGTTGCCCAACGTGCATTGGTCGAGGGAGCTATGGCTATGGCCATGCATTCCATGCTGGAAAAGCTCGCGCGGCATCGGTAGGATTCAGGACGACCGATCGTGGCCGAGGGATAAAGAAATCAATGCCAACTTTGCCAGGCAACGCGTTCAATCCACACATTCGGAGACAGAGGCCCGTAATAATGATTCAGGAACGCGACACGCCGCGCGAAATCATGCAACGACTGGGCCACGCGAACGGAACGCCGATGTGCGAGGAAGTTGGGGGAATAGACAACGAGGGTCATGAGCCAGCGCCGTGAAGATGAACACGGGAAGCCATGGTTTGAGTTTTAGTCGAGATCGAGGCTGCGATCCCGCTCGGCTACACTCACTAGAGATCCCCCGATGAAAGCCCCATGCGGCGGATTCCGATACGCTGGAATGCTTCGTGGCATTCAAATCAAGTGAGGCGTGAGAGGGGACAAAAGGGGACGATGGGGAAGAAAGAGGACTGGTGAGATAACGGAAAAGGACAAACAATGAGATGTTGTGGATAAAAGCATGAAGGGATAAAGGGAGGAGGAAGAGGAGGAGGAGGAGGAGGAAGAGGAGGAGGAGGAGGAAGAAGAAGAAGCAACCGCCTCTGCAACCGCTCGCGTGTGCCATTCAATCGCCCGCGGACTGTTGTTGCCAAGGCCCGGCAGCGGGGGGGGGAGGGCGGCCCGCACTTTGTGGATTCCGTCTTCTCGAGACGGCGCTGGCCCCAGCGCAGGCCTGGACCCCGCGCGCGAGGAGGAGGAGGAGGAGGAGGAGGGGGAGGAGGAGGAGGAGGAGGAGGAGGAGGAGGAGGAGAAGGAGGAGGAGGAGGAGGAGGAGGAGGAGGAGGGAGGAGGAGGAAGAGGAGGAAGAGCAGGAGGAGGAGGAGGAGGAGGAGAATGAGGAGGAGGAGGAGGAGGAGGAGGGGGACGGGAAGGAGGAGGAGGAGGAGGAGGAGGAGGAGGAGTCGTTACCATACGCTCCCTGCCGCTGTATATGTACATATATGCATTTACTTGTACGTTACCTTGACCGAAGCTGTTTCGTATCGGAAAAGGGGTCCGCGCGCGCGTCCGCGCGCGCTTCCCCCACTTATTACATTTGTCCTTTCCACACTGCTTAACGGACACCCGAACCTTGCTTTCCGCCATGTCCTTGGATCCGCTACCATGGACCCCAACTCTACGACCAGTACAACCTGATGATATTGGCCCTGTTGGGCTTAAGTTGGGTAGAGATGGGTTATCAGCCGAAAGTTCTTATCCAAGGATGACCGACCATGTCGGCCATCTTGGGGCAGGTAAGATCACCTTCTCACAGGATTAACCAGATATGGGAAGTGTTCTTGACCCTACGAAGCCAGGAAAGCATGAGGTTCAAGTCGGTGGACCGAAACAACCGACCTCCCAACGCATCCAATAACCAGAGAAGATGGTACCGGGAAGTACCATGGCACCCACACGTCAGCCTTCCCCTACCCAGCGGGACAACAAAACCATCCTGAAGCTGGTATCGAGGAACCCTCACGCCCTCACTCGTGATCCTTCACCTGCCAGCGACTCGGCACGAAATGATGGCGCCCCTAACAACCGTGGACGGCAAGGTACGCCTCTTCCCGATGACGAATCGGAGGAGGAAGAGGAATGGCATGGAGGAAGAGGTCGTCCACGTAACCCATTGTCTGACGACGTCGCGCAAACCTACGTCGTGAACTCCAGCTCGTCCGACGAAGAGGGCGTTGCTGAGACTCCGACCAACAAGAAGGAGACGTTATCAGTATCGAGTTCATCGGAGATCCTCGAGACATCGACCCTCGAAGGCACGCCTACGAGGCGCACCGCGGACCATGTCCGACGCGCGGCAGAGAATGCGAGCCCCGTAGATGACGACGCCCGCACGGAAGACCTAAGGACCTCATCCGGGGGGGCCGCGACAGATGCACGACATGGTAAGACCCCGAGAGAAGATCCGGTAGATATAACGCTATCCCCGCGCGGAAAGCGCCCAAAGACTGAGCCTGGCGGATCGGGCGTCCATGACGAACCCGCCCCAGTCCCTCGTGCCAGATCCTGCGGGAGGCAGCTCTTTGATTCACCGAGCTTAATCTCCCAGAGGTCAAGATCGGGAAATGGCGGTCGCAGTCGCAATTCAAGGGGGTCGCACCGCGGTTCATCTCTCTCGAGGTCATCGGCGCCCCGATTTACGATGAGAGAAACCCGTGCGCACCGTGGGCCAGATTGCGCAGAAGGCCCAGAGAACTGCTGTCCGGGCAGAGCGACCGATAGTCGACAGCGCCAGAAGCCTGCGCGCCGAGGCTGATCATGTCAATGTTCGCTGTGTAATATGAGCTTCTTGTGCCATGATTGTCTGCCTCCGAAACAACGCAACTGCTTCGCCTACAAAAACCACGTGGGAGCAGCAGCAGGAGATGAGGCAACATCAACGAGAACAAAACGCCTCTCTGAGATCGCAACCATGCGCTCCATGATGGCTGACATGGAAGCTATCAGAAAAGAGAATGAGGCTAGGGAATCGCAGGCTGGCGCTGCGAAAATACATGCTGAAACTCAAGCTAGTCTCGGAATCCGCGACGGCAATCCGGGGGGGGCCTGTGGGGGGGGGCAAAACACTGCTACGAGCAAGGGCCGAGGCTCTCGCGGAACAGGAATCGGCCACTCGCCGGGCGGCGGAGTTGAGATCCATGCATCAACGCGCTGAGCGCGTCGCGGCGACTTCCCAAGCCGGCCATGCCAGCGCGAGGAACGAGGCGGGAGAAGCAATTCAGGCCATGCGAAATGCCGAGATGCAGGCCCACTTGGAAGTCGAAGCAGCAAAACAACATTTCCAGAGGGAAGCTGTTTCGACTGTGCAAGAATGGGAAGCTCAACGTGAGTTGACGCACCGGCAACAAGCGATGCAACTGGCGCAGGAGGGCCTGCAGGGCATGACGAGCACGGTAAGGGGGGCGGTCCCGGCGACCGCAACGCGCGTTCGATCGACCGGCGGGACCATGTCCCAACGAGAGGGCTCGCGATCTAGACCAGCCATGTCCGACAAAACCCGATGCTTCGTCTGCAACATGCCAGATGCCCCGCGTACGCGTGAGCGATGCCAACGGTCGTTCCGCGCGCAACACTACGACTGGGCGACGAAGCGCTGCCGACAGTGCGAAGACGACCGGGCGCGCGATCGCGAGGCCACGCTGAGGGAACGGCATGAAGGGGAAGAAGCCGCGATGAAGAAAAGGGTGCTAGAAGAGGAGGAAAACAAGCGGTCACGAGACGAGATTGGGGCTCAGGCCGAGGCCATAGCCCTGCGTCGCATACACGAGCTTGAGGAAAATGCTGAATTGCGTGCGCTCAAAATGGAGGAAGCCGCGCGTGCTCAAGCTGATGAGATGCGAGAGAAGGCCGAAGCGCTGATGAAAGAATCAGAACTCAGCGCGACACAGTCAAAACAGAGACATCGCGACCACCTGGAGTTGGTTCCCAGCGAGGCGCAAAAGCAGAAAGAGGAACAGAAAAAGAAGAAACAGGAGGGACCGCCGACCTATTCCTTCCCGGGGTGCACGACGCCTGCCCGGCCGAAGAAAACCGCGGCTATTGCGGGGGGCCTCGCAGGGGATGGCGACAAGCCCCTTCGCCAGAGCCATGCTAATGGTGAAGGGGATTAGCTGGGGGGAAAGAAGGATGGCATCGGAGGCGCGCCTGGGGGCGACGACCCTGGTGATGAAAGCGACGATGATGATGACAGCGATGGCGATGATCCCGATGGAGAAGACGATTCCGAGGAGGAAGTTCCCAGTGATGAGGATGATGATAGCTCCGAGGAAGAAGATGTAGAGGCCGCAAACCAGAGAATCAGCCGATATGCGCTCAGAACGCCGGTCAGGATAATCCGGGGGGAGGTGGTGCACCGCCCCCGGGCCCTCCTGGAGACGGTGGTGGGCCTGGTTTCCCAGAGCATGGGGGACTTTTTCCGGCCGCTGCCCCATGGGTAGCGGCGGACAGGATCGAGAAAGTTTCGGTAGGCCCCCTGCCAGACGCGGGCATCTTTCGCATGTGGAAGAAGTCCGCCATTCGGGCAGCGGTTTCATGCTCGCAGCAAAACCATGTTTTGGCGACGAAATGGGTAGCCGAGGTGTTCGAGCACAAGACGGTGAAGCCAGAGCATTGAAGAACCCAGGCCCATAATTTGGGAACCATGATGTACGCATAGCGGCAGATCTCATTGCGAATTTCAACTAGATCCAAAGGGGTCCCAACGCTTCCCATGCTCTTCGACACCTTGCCGACGAGGTCGACCGCGCTGACTCTAAACGACTGAAGAATAGGAAACTGCCCACGGGCAGATCGATACTCTGCATAATCCAAACCCACGTTGCCACTCGAGAGGACCATGGACAAGTGTATACCTACGAGGACCTCATGGCCATCCAGATTGAAGGAGAGACCTCTACCACTTCTATGATGAATGGACGAGGGTGACGCAAGAAATGGAGAAACCCCACAAATCCTTCAGACCATCCATTCAAAGCCACTTCGACAATCAATGAAGTGCCAATGTATGACCATGACCCTTGCTATGGACGATCATAGCAACGATGAATACGGGAAGGGCATGAAGTCCTATGAATGGCTCTTGGGCATGATCGCTAAGCAGATGCTGAAGGATCGAGGGGGGGGGGGGGGGGGGATAATCGTAAAACCCAGAAGCAGCAAATAAACAAGCGCAGAGTGAAACTCAGCGGCGGAAAGACAGGTGATGGGAACAAAGATTCAATCGCAATGAAAGATGGGAGGCTTAAGAACTCCGTAATCTGCCGACGCTGGCAGAAAAGGCCTACGTCCACTTAGTCGGCATGAATGTCAGCACCTGCACCCCAAGAAAGCGACGCCCGCGCCGCGACAGAAACGCGGACGAACCCAGGCCGCCGCACCAGGGCCCCCCCATGGAGGGCCGTCTGGAAGGGGCCGGGGAGGCATGGGTGATTCGAGGGGGAGGTAGGGGAGACGAGAAGGAGAGAGGCAAAGGCAGAGGCGATTGCAAGAGCGGGAAAGTTGACTGGCCTAAGAAGCAGGAAGGGCGCGGGAGCAGCAATCTCCTTCTCAGAGCAAGAGTCGAGTGTTGCGCCAACAGCCCCGCGGTCGCGAGCACCGACCGCGGTCGCGAGCACCGACCGCTGACGAAGCAGGAGAAGCAGGGGCGAGACGCCTGGGAGCAGAGCCTCCCGAAGGCCGGAAAGGGATTGCCGTGCAGCCGCAACTCGGAGCAGACGACCGCAGCCGAGAAAAGCGCAAGAGCTCTGAAGCCGTCAGCTGCTCCCGCCCCAGACGGAGGAAAGCCGCAGGGTAGCAAGTCAAGTGGTCAAAAAGGTAAAACCAAGGCGAAGTGCTGGTATCACTTGGACGGCCAAGCGTGCCCTTTCGGCGACAAGTGCTGGCGCGAGGCCAACGCTCCCGGGCATCTGTGATCCAGGGGGGCGGCGCGCAGCACCACCCGCGGTGCTGGCGTCGCCCCGGCGGGAGATGCGACAGAATGCCACTGTGCAGCTCCTGCGGAACAGGTGCAGTTGGCCAGTCCAGCTGCGCCATTCGCCGGGTCACGATCCCGTGCGACAATACAAGGGCCCATGGCCAGCCCTGGCAACATATGGTCAATCAATACTCCAGGCCCATGCGACGAGGCCATGGGAGACAACGATGCGTTCCCTGCGGACGCTCAGCGCCATTCAGC